GGCCCCCCCCGTCGGGGGGGGGGCCCCCCCTGTACACCTACAGCTACACGCTGGGTGAGGGGGCCCCCCTCTGCCTTGCAGCTGACTTGTGTATCCGTACCCTTTTGCTTCAGGGGCCCCCTATAGATTTGTATGTGGGGCCCCTGTGGGGCCCTGGCTGTATCACAGTGGGGCCCCCCGAGGGGGGCCCCCATATGGGGGCCCCCCCCAGCAGCAGCAGCAGCAGCAGCAGCAGCAGCAGCAGCAGGGGCCCCCATGCATGCAGAGCTGCTGCTGCTTTGGCGTCCCCGCTGCTGCTAGGGAAATGTTTATATATTAGGGGGCTGAAAATACTAGCACTGACACCCCCCCCCAGCAGCAGCAGCAGCAGCAGCAGCAGCAGCAGCAGCAGCAGCAGCAGCAGGTTGCTGCAGAGTCAGCAGCTAAGAAAGGAAGCGAACGAGAAGTTTGTGAGGGGGAAGATGCATGCAGCTTTGGGGCTGTATAGACGCGTAAGTCTAGGGTTTAGGGTTTAGGGTTTAGGGTTTAGGGTTTAGGGTTTAGGGTTTATTATATATGTTTGTTTTCTTCTCTCCTCAGGCTAGTGTAGCTCTCGGGGGGCCCCCCCATGGGGGCCCCTCTGCTCTGTGGGCCCTAAAAAAAATAAAAGAAAACGAAACCCTCACCCTGCTGCGGCTGCGGCGGTATAGAGAAGCTCTTGCATGCACGGAGCAGGCAAGCTGCTGCTGCTGCTGCTGCTGTCGCTGTCGCTGCTGTTGTTGCTGCTGGTGCTGTTGCTGCTGTTGCTGCTGCTGCTGTTGCTGTTGCTGTTGCTGCTGTTGGTGCTGTTGTCGGTGGCGGTCGTGGTTGTGGGGTGGTGCTGCTGCTGTGGTTTCCTGCTGCTGCTGCTGCTGCTGCTGCTGCTGCACCAGGTTGTTCTCTTGCATCCCCAAACCAGTAGCAACAACAACAGCAGCACCACCACCACCACCACAACCACCATCATCTTTTTTATTTTTTTTTCTTTCAGGTGCTGCTGCTGTCTCCCTCCAGCAGCAAAGCAACATACAGCCAAATCAAAGCCCTCGCGGGCCTCCACAGATTCACACAAGCAGAGACACTTGCCCTCCATCATATACACACCCTATACACACAGGGGGCCCCCCAGGGGGCCCCCGGGGGGGCCCCCCAGGGGGGCCCCCAGGGGGCCCCCCGAGGGGCCCCCCAGGGGCACACACACGATCCCCCCGAGGGGGCCCCCCAGGGGGCCCACTGGGGGGCCCCCCAGGGGGCCCCCCAGTGCCCTCCCCAGGGGGCCCCCCAGGGGGGCCCCCAGGGGCCCCAGCAAGGGGCCCCCATGGCAGCAGTATTTTATAAGCTTTTGAATAAGATACGGCATAAGAAAGCTGTTTGGTTGCAGCTGCAGCAGCAGCAGCAACTGCAGCAGCAGCAACAGGAAGAGCAACAGCAACAGCAGCACGAGTATGGAGAACAGCAGCAGCAGCAGCAGCAGCAGCAGCAGCAGGAGCTTACAAAGAGACAGCAGCAACTGGACGCAGCAGAACAGGCTTAAGGCTGATGTCGATATACAGCAGCAGCAGCAGCAGCAGCAGCAGCAGCAAGTTGCCGCTGCTGCTGCTGCTGCTGTTGCTCGGCCTGCGGCCGCAGCTGGCACTGTTGCTGCTGCTGCTGCTGCACCAGCAACAGATACCTACAAACAGCAGCTGGAAGGTCTGCTGCTGCTGCTGCTGCTGCTGCTGTTGCTGCAT